GGAGGTTAAGCCCTGGATTTGAATCCTGCGAGGAGGATCGTGGATACGCACTGTTGGGTAGTTCTACAGTCGGACGAAACGGTCGTCCAGTGATTCCAGGTTTTCAATGGTGGTCTAACATCAATCAGTTCATGATCTCGATCCAATACTTATCTCTTTATTTCGCATGTATCTTTCATTAGATGGTACTGTAATGAACAAAATACGAGTGGAGACGATCGAATGTATTTCAACACAAAGTTACAGAGTATCTCAATAAAATCTGAGAACCATATAATAAATCGTTAATTTGCAAAATATCAACCCATCATCTCAAACTTGACCATCAATCCATTGTCTCAGATTTCATTGTTCATGTGTTTTCACACCAATCGCGTTCCGTCCCCGTTCTTTCCTCATCGACCTTCTACTGAAATACATTCTATGCCTTACCACAATCATATACTACTTATGTGGATATAAGTAATCTACACCACAATACTAATCCGGATTCATTCTTTCTTTCTTTTAGAAAACATTTGAAATACATCAATGTTTTAATCAACAACAAAAAATATGAGAATCTAAGGAATTCTATAAATTTATTCGCTCTGGATTTTCTTTTAATTAAATACTAAATCAATAATGTAAAATAGTTATTTCTACGGGTGAATTGTCTATTTCTTAGTAAACTATGAATTGGTACGTTACTTTTATCAGTTAAACAATACCAATTCGTGATATCACTATAATGATAGAAATTTTGGATATCCGGAATGTTACTAAGTGAATTAGAAATATGATAGGACTATTGTTTACTATGGTTTTACTGGTTTTGTTTTAATAATTTCTTGCTTCCTAGTAACCTCTCTACTTGATAACAAACAAAAATATATTTCAATAGTTAAGATCATGAGTCAGTTGAAGCTAGACCACCATGGAAAACCTGGAAGCGCTGGACGGCCGTTTGGTCTTATTGTGGGACTCCTCAGCAGAGCGCATCCACAACCTTGCCCCCTGCGAGATTCGAACCCAGTACTTACTGGTTTCGCGCGCGAGCACTTAACCATGATGGTCTCGCTTCAACTGAATCATGATCTTAACCATTGAAATTACTATAATATTCACAAAATCTATCTGATATTAAAAATATATTTGACTATATCAAACACTGCATAATGTCTGAGTATTTTTAAGGAGAATGTCAAAATAAGTACTGGTGTGAAGTACGCTACTTATGTCGACATAAGTAGTATACAACACCAATCAGAAGTAGAATGCCTGACAGCAGTAGGCTGGAGAAAATACAATCAAAAAGAACGGGAATAAAGAGTATTTGTTATGGCAATGAAGGAACAATGACGTTTAAGACAGATGATAGAAACGGCCTTCTAGAGCTTCCGAGTTTCCCATGGTGGTCTAGCTTCAATTGACTCACGATTTCAATCTGTGAAATTTCTAAAATCTCCACAAAATCCTTTCTGATAATTAAAGAATTTATTAATGAAATCATTTTGTTTGTATAAAAATCTGTCTGTGGTTTAGTTTTAACAATGTTGATGTCTGTTTTGAGCAATAAATTCTCTTCTCACGAATGTACCGTTAACAAAGGCGTTGGATTTGCTTTGTGACTATTTCTAGAAACAGTTTTCCCTTTTTCCTATTCCGTCACCATTGTTGAAAGAATTACTTTTATTATGTACTACTAATATTCAATTCATGTTTGATGGTGAATATTTTCGACAATTCGATGGTGCAGCTATGGGTAGCCCTTTGAGGCCTCTCTTAGCTGATGTATTTATGTCATATGTGGAAAATTTGACGAGTGAGCTTATTAGTGAGGTAACTCTATACAGAAGATACATGGATGATATTCTAATTATATGTGATAAAGATTTTGATGTTTACCTATTATGGGATAAACTCAATAGTGTTCAAGACGATATTGTGATGACATATGAAGCAGAATATAATGACCAATTGGCCTTTTTAGACATACTTTTAAGTCGAAGGGATGATGTCACTATTAGACGGTCAGTGTATAGGAAACCAACCTGGACGGGACAATACTTATTTTCCATAGTTTATGTCCATTGCAATACAAGCGAAGCCTGGCTAAGAGGACTCAAAGAATTTGTACTTCTGACACGGTGGAAAAAAATGAATAGTTCCTGACTGACACATTATTAACAAATGGTTATCCACTAAAATTTATTAATAGGTGCAAAAGCCAATAATGTCAAGACCTCTTGTTTATTCAGTTACAAAGAAAAAAGTTCATGTCAATCTACTATATAGAGGCGAATCCAACAGTATAGTTTTAAGACAGAGGTTGAAAGCAGCCATCGAAGATACCTATTATGCTGCTCAAGTGGTTGAGATTGAAAAGTCTAGGCCCATGATTCCTAATAGACCCAGACAATGCACATTCCATTGTATTTACCAATTTACATGTTTGTGTGGACACACATAAATAAGGAGGAGTAATAGAACAATACAATCAAGGGTCAATGAACGTGTGCTTAGATGGCTTCAAAATCAGTGTGTGTCAAAAGATCCGATCAATGTGGGAGCTGGAAAACCAGGCTTATCGATAACGAAACATATAATTTAAACGGGGCACAAAATTGACATTAATACAGCTTTTAGGACGTTGTATAAAAATTGTCAAGGACGAATTCTTAAGTTCATTAAAGCCTTGGCTAATCGTAAATTTAAACTCCCCTTATGTGTACAAAAACAACTTGTTGTAACCTTGAATTTATCTTGGTAATCCTTAAGTCATTCTATGGCCTAGGATAACGCGATAATTTCTTATTCTTTCTCTTGTGAAGATGGGCCTGAGAAGCTTATTTTGTAAATAGTTTTCAATATTATTTGTATTTATTTTGTCAATCTTTCACTGTCTGTATATTTTATCATTAAACGATTGTACCTTTTGTTTTAGTAAATGACCTTGAACACACTTTCCGTTGTGATACTGACATAGCGTGACATGCTCTTGCTGGCTAACAAATACACTACTACTCACACCTTCCTCTTTCTATCTTCGTTTTGTGGTTGAGTTAAGTGAAGTCTAAATCAAATACTATCTACGTTTATAAACTGTAATTGGAATATATTACATCCTACGTTGGATTATATCACTGGAGAGTTCGTCGACCAGATTGGAATTACCAAGCATTTATAATTGTGGTTTCTTAGTACCAGACCAAAGGCGAACACGAATCAACTAGGTGAACTTAAGTAAAGTCCCAACTTTCTATTGTATTTGTAACAATTAACTTATATATATTAGCATTTCTATTGATCTTTATTAACTTTGTTGATATTTTTTGCATTTATATATCGTCTGGTCCACCACACTCTCCCCTTTGTTACTTTTTACTTGAACTTTCATTTAATTGACCTTTATTAATTTTCATATAAAATGCCCTGACAAGTATATGTGTGACCAGATTGTTTGAAATGTATAGCGCAAATACATCACACATTTTTCAGATCAACTCCGTCTTCTCATTGTTCTATCGAAATAAAGAAAGCACCGATGTTTTCATATTTACAGATACGTTATTCTAATGAATTTTAGTTATGAACGAATATAAACCAGATAATTTTTGTCGACTGATATCAATGAAGATTAAAAAAATACAGCCCAATAGTGCATCATACACACAAATAGCCATATTATGACTCAAAAAAAAAAACAACCGCACTAAGTTATATTGTTTCATAAGTGATGATTTCGTGTCAAAAAATTCACTTGTTTCTTACCAAAATTTAATATTATCAGAAGAGGTTTTGTGGAGATTGTAGTAATTTCAATGGTTGAGATCATGGGTCAATTGAAGCCCGATCAACATGGAAAACCTGGACAAAATGGCCGTCCGGTTCTTCCAAGTTTTCCATGATGGTCTAACTTCAATTGACTCACAATCTCAGCTATTAAAACTTATTATATTCGGTTATTTTGAGCAACTGTCTCTTTCATTACATATTTTTGCTAAAAACATTCTGAAATTTATAAACAATTTGATAAAACAATAATTTTCATCTATTCTATAATAAATTATTACATTACTCTTTTCTCATTAATTATCATTCATATACGATGCATAATAATTGCAAATAATTAAAAGCTTTTTTATATAAGAAACCTAATCCAAATTTGATCAAATCGTTTCACAGTATTTGGGCACCATGCTGATATGAGACATTAAAGAAGAAGAATGTATTGATTAAAATTTCAGTAAATGAATTTGAAATAAAGTCAACGTTTCACCTAGTAAGCTGATCCAAACTATTTCAAGCATCAAACTTATCGAATAATTTATTTTACTTACATTTTACAATTATATTCTTTCTCTTTTTGATGAATCAAGTGCTTTGATTTGAAATTCCTAGAATGCCTAATGATTATTTTCTTTTATTCTTTTTTTGTTTAAAACAAAAAGCGAACAATCAATGGTTCAATAATGGATAGTGGCTAGCAGTGGAATCCAGGACGCGCGTTTTGTCCTATTTGGGACTTGTCAGCTGGATGTACCTGCATCTCAGTGTTGATGTTCAATCTGGGACTCGAACCCAGTACCATTCGCTTCAAAGGCCATCACGTTATCCACTCAGCTACTGAATCGTGATAGCCACTTGCTTGCGCAATGGGGTCAATTTGAATTCACTTGGTATTGTTTGGCTTGTATCTTGTGAATTAAGGTAATATCGAGGCATACGCACAGTATGCACATATGCCAATAACAAACTGATCAATTACAGCCTTAAACCACAATTGGAAGATACAAGCCAAACAATACCAAGTGAAGTCAATGGTTCAGTTACCATTTATAACAAAATTGAACCTTTTACACGTCGTACAGAGTAAAGTAAATGCATAGATAATGACATTTAGTTCTTACAGTAATCATTACCAAGTTTATTTACAAATAAACAAAACAAACAAATAACTAAATGATAAATACAAATAATGTTTCTTACTTACTATTACTATTGGTTATTTAACTTACCATCATCATAATCATCTTTGAATGTATCATCTAACTCAAATGTATCACTAATTGAGAACATTAAAAATAAATAAAAAATCATAGTTAACCATTGCATTATGAGTAGATTTTTTTTGTAAATTTTCACCAACTGATAAATGAACTGGAGTTTTTTTTTGTGATGTGTGGTTTCTTTGTTGTTGTTTTTTTCTTTCCTCTAATCAAGTGAATATTAAATTATGCAAATGTACAACAATGACTATTACTACCATATGTAATTCATTTTTATCCCGAATAAAATTTTCATGTGTATACTTATATTGTAAAAGGTATGAGATCTCTAATTGGTTAGTAATATACATATAATGAATATAGAATAATGAGCATTTTTCATAAACTCTCTCTCTCTCTCTCTCTCTGTAGTAAACATTAACAATGAAAATAAAAGTAAAAAAACAATTCATCTAATGTCAAACTGTTTCACAGTATAGATCTACTGTTAAGGTGATGGATCAAAGCCATCATCAATGTATATATAATATATATGTAGTAAGTTTTCTTTAATGGAGTATGTTTCATTGTTAGTCAAATAGAATATTATTTGTCCATGAATTACCCACGGGATGCATTTACAGTTGTGTTTTGTTTTTTTACAAGTGATTGTTTACAATTACATGTTATCATATTATAATGGGTATTTTCATTTTACACAAAAGTGAAAATAGTCAAACACTGATCATTATCGTGTTTTTCTATTATTATTATTATTACTTGCCTATTGTGAAGTGATCACAGCATTATTTATTATAATTACGATGATTGTAGTACATTAATGCTTCTATTATGTTGAATACAATGGATCAAATAGAGTGCTGATTTGAACAACAATGGATATAGATTGTTTAATTCATATTGACTGAAAGAAAAAATTAACATTTCGAAGACTATATTACTATCTTAATCAGTAGTATTACTGATAGTGGTCGTAACAGTAGTAGTAATTGTTATCTTAAAGTTGGGTAGTCTCTAACAGATAGAATCTAGTTCAAATTCAGTAAACTTACTTCTCCTGATGATGTTTAGAGTAAAAGTGATAGTATTTCTATTATCACTAGAATATGTAAGCCAGTCTTGTTGGTTACGGACTGATTAATATGGGAAGCTTAGGATCTACAATTTGCAAAATAATGAATTCATTAGGCTTTCTTTACAAAAACAAGACAAACTAATTGGCTTATAAGCTCAATGAAGTAAAAAATAAATGTTGTGTAGCTTTGTCATTCTTTTTTTAAAATTCACTGGCTAAAATTAAATAGTAGCTTTATTAATAGAAAAGTTACATACTTAGTCCGTTGGATAGTTGTTTCATTAACCATCAGCTAGTTGACTTTGGTTGACGCTAATAACCGATACTTTCTGTCAATTTATAACAGAGGATATTTCACTTCTTTGAAACAAAACACTCAGATCTATTACGAATCAATATACAGTAGATCTGACTATTGGAATAGTAAATAACAAATTACTTTGTTCTTAAATTTCACTTGATCTTATAAATACGTAAAAAAAATGATTAAATCATAATTAATCTGCGATACAATCTTGGTTGAGATCAGTTTTATAATAAGTAGTTGTAAGTATGCGATTTAATCCCACTGTTATGGTTACATTAGTTTTAAACTATTCACTATGCAACAAAGATTACGATTGCATATAAATATTGGATAACCATTGGGTTATTACGTAAGTTGAGTGAACTATGAACCTCTGTATTCCAGCATTATGATCTAGAGTATACATATTAGCTACAATTTTCAAAGGTCTTGTTTATGTTGATAGTTCGTTATATTGTCAAGTTTCGTACTTAGGTGAAGCAGTTGTTCAATGTTTTCTGGTTTTAATGATTCCCTACTTAGTATCAATCCGTAGTTAAAATAATCTTGTGTTTAAGTCAGACATCCATCTATAGAAGAAGGACTATCTTAGTCGTTGTGAATACCAATAACATCACTTAGCAACCAAGTGTCGATGTACATTCATCCAAACAGGGTGGTTACATGTATTTCATAAATCACTCATTATTAGAAACTTACCACAGAAGAATTAAAATATAATATTGATAATGCTCAAATTCCATCCATTTCAACCCATGAAAATGATGTGGTCTATTCTGAAATTTTCCATCACTAATATTAGATGTTCACAAAATTTCATACCATATTTTTTGTACAGAAGTAAATAAGTAATGTTATTGCCTGATATCTATAAAATGAACTCTATTGAAGTTGATTTTTGCCTAAAGTGATTTTGATGGAGTTTTGTTCTCTGAGCTGGATGGTTTGGTTGTAGAGCTTTCATCGTTCTTCTGAACGACATCATCAGCACAAACTTTAAATAGAGGTGAATTTTACCTCGATAGACACCTTGTAAATTGAAGAATATTAAATGAAAATCTGATTTATACTTGAGTTAACAGTCTTAGTTTCCTACAAAATTGATCTCAATTTCTGGGTACTAGGTAAGGATGGCAAATCAATCGATGAAGTGATGAAACTTCATCATTTGAGATGGCTGGGACACGTGTTACGTATGCCCAACCACCGACTGCCTCGACGTGCTATGTTCAGTGGTATAGGAGTAGGTTGGAAGAAAGCTAAGGGCGGAAAGACCAAAACATGGCACAAATCCATGAAGTCACTGACAAGTTAACTGAGCCATGTTGTTAGGTGTAAACTACCTGGTTGGGGACCGCGAGATGATAGCAACCAATGGTTAGAGACCTTGAATGACATGGCTCAAAATCGTTTGCAATGGCGCAGGTGCATTCACTCTCTGTGTTCTCCCAAATTCTAATCTTCTGAATTCTTCATGTCCCTTTCTTTTACTCTTTCCAAATTTATTTCACTGTATTATACTCCTTGAATAACATCTTCAAACCCCAATTTTTCTGATTATAGCTTATAATTTTACTACATCTAGCACTACGGGATTCGAGTCGTCCACTGCATCTCTGTGCTAATGTGGTGTGGCAACTTGAACTGATGTACGTACGTACGAAGTTCCACGTTGGGACTGACTGACTGAATAGTCTCTAACCTATTCGATGGGGATAAATAAATAATTAAACATCTCTGAACTAACTGATTTTCATTCAGAATCTTAAGTTCACACTAGCTGTAGTGACCGAAGTGTAGGGTAAATCTGATAGCTAAACCTTTTTGTTTTATAGATAGTAAATTTCATAGGTAAGCTATTGCATGATTCCGTGTAATAAAGAAACTTATTGGAGTAGTAATTGTTATAACTTGAAAAAGCTGATTTTTCTTGATACAACCGCGTATAACTGAGCACTAGAACACCAAACCCTTCCAAGTCGCAACAAGAAGACAGAAGACTAACGAACGGAATATTATTCCAAACAGTGTCAAACATAGTACAAAAATGGTCAGGTATTTATAGTTTTCAGTGAGAACAAAATCATCATTACAGTCTTCCAATCCGCGTACAGGGGGTTATTAGCATTATCCAATGGGGAAGCTACACGTTGGAATTCTAGAACATTCTTTCGAAAGGTGATTGGATGGAACGTCTTCGGCTCCTTATGAGCCTCTTACAGCTTCCTCGAGTTCACCGGTGGTCCGTCGTCACACCTCCCCCCTTTAAAGTCCGTTGTATAAGATTTTTTTCTTGGATCCACCTGAAACTTGGGTGTCGCATTCCTCTTGCGGTTCATTACTCTCGAGGGTTGTACAGCTTTCTCTCTGCGTCGTTTGTCTTTTCGATATTCGCGCTCATGATGGTTCTTCTGAGATGAATCTACGAGCAATTGAAATGGAAGCCGGTTTTCTGTGACCACTATACTATCATTTCTTTGCATTTGATTTATATGTCTTATGCATTTCCCGACATCTTTCCGGACTAGGTACAGCACATTTCCGATTCGACGTTCTATGACACCTGGTTCCCACTTCCTATTACCTTGATACGATCTGACAAGTACCTTTTCACCCACCTGGAAGCTACGATTGACCTTACGATTTTCATTCGTGGGTTTATTTGTCTTTCTGGGCGGCAACATACTGTTAAAAACTGTCCGGATTTTCCTTCCGAACATACACTCGGCCGGAGACTTTCCTTCTGGTACTGCCGGATTAGGGGTAACTCTGTAAGACATCAAGAACTTATTAATCACTTGTTCCGGGACACCCTCACCTCCCCCTTTGACCAGAGCTCTTTTAATTGTATCCACGAATCTTTCTGCCTGGCCATTCGACTGAGGATGGTATGGAGGAGATTGTAGATGCAATATGCCATTCTCGTTGCAGAAGCGTTTGAAGGCAGATGACATAAACTGAGTACCATTGTCAGTCACTAAGATCTCTGGAACCCCAAAACAGGCAAACAATCCTGACAATCTTCTTATGGTACTCTCTGAAGTCGTATTCGGCATGTCATATACTTCCGGCCATTTTGTGAAAGCATCTACAACAACTAAGTAATTCCTGCCTTGTATCGGTCCGGCGAAATCAGCATGTATTCTTTGCCAAGGCCCGTCCGGTTTAGGCCATGGTTGTGGCTCAGCTCTCGTTGGATTCTTTGCAGCCTCTTGACAGGACCAACAGCTGCGACATTTTTGCTCTATCTCATGGTCCATTGACGGCCAGTATGCATAGCTACGAGCTAGTGACTTCATTTTACTTATCCCCGGATGCCCGTTGTGGAACTGTTTAATGACTTGGTGTCGAAGATTTCTGGGGATAACGATACGATGGCCAAACATTATACATGAATCGACAACTGTTAATGACTCTCGTCGACGAAAGTATTGTAAGAGTTCTCCGTGTAATCTCGATGAAGGCCATTTATTGAGTATGCAATGGCGAACAATCTTTAATATATTATCCTTCTTGCTGGCCTCTTTAATTGCTTCAAATGTGACCGGGAGTCCGGAAACTGCGTCTGACAATATTTTGTGAACCTCGGCCTCGACATCTATAGCAGCTACAAGCACCTCTTCTTCTTGTTTTTCATGCAGACCAATCAATCTTGAGAGTGCATCTGCCTGTCCGAAATCCGTTGTTG